GGGTAACGATGGGTTAACGTTTCTCATGTTTTCCACTTTATGGTGCAATTTTTTTTTTCTGTATCTTTATATAAAGAAGGTAAGTGTCCTGGCCTCACTCCATAGGGACAAAGCACCAAGGTCCCTGCAAACCCTGACAGCTGGTGGATTCCAGAAATTCACAGGACTGTACCCCCTGTTCCTGGCCCCCATCTTGGGGCTCTCCATGGTGCTTGAGCTGTCTCTGCAGGATGCACACCTGGAACCCATTCCCTGGTTTTTCCTTCTGTACCCCCATCCCCATGAATCCTCAGGGTTCTTCACTGGGTTCAGGGCCTCTGGCTTCAGCTGTCACTCCCTCCCCTTGCTGCCCGGGTCCCTGGCGGATCAGAGCTGTGTCTGAGATGCACCCGCCCTACTCAGCCTCCTGGGTGTCTCTGAAGGTTTGTGAAATCGCAGTCCCTTGGCCTGAAAAGAACTTCAGCCGGGGTTGGAGTGGCGTGAGTGGAGACAAGGAAGCTGACCCGTGCCAAGGTGCTCGGAGGGATGAGCGGGGCCCTGGGCTGAGGGAGGCAGGGTGGTCGGGCACATGGGCGACTCAGGAGGAAGTTCTGATGAGAACTGGGAACTCCAAGGGAGAGATCATGAGAGAGTTCTGTCCTTCATTTGGTTAGACAACGGGATGATCCTGCTGCCATGGTCTGAGCTGAGCCTTCTGTAGGCGTGAAACCTCTGAGGCAAGGCTGCTGGGGATCGTGGTCAGGGCCCGAGAGCTCGACTGTGGCTGTGGTAATTTTAGGTGCATGGATCCCAGGGCAGATGTCCAGTAGGGAAAACTGAGTGCTGGGTGGGATCTGAATGCTGACATACAGCTGAGTCACAGACAGCAAGATGGACAGGGCAGTGACAGCCGGAGTGGTGAGAACCTCAGAGGAGGCTTGTAGGACAGGAGAGTGGCCATGGCCGAGCCCTGATCAGTCCAGACGTTGAGAGATCAGGTGGAGGGCCTGAGGAGGCCTCGTCAGCGTGGTAGGAGGGGAACCCAGAGAAAGAGTGCCGTGGACCTGAAGGAAGGGAAGGTCTCATGGAAGAGGGGAAACAGGCCTGTCCACTATAGACGCTTCTTGACTCACGATGGGGCTGTGTCCCTTTAACCCATTGTAAGTTGAAAATATAAGTCAGACATATAAGCTACTTGACCTACCAGACACCGAAGCTTAGCAGCACAGTACGCTGCAGGGTACGGCCATCTCCCCTCCTCCGCCGGTGGCCGAAAGGGAGCTCTGGCTAGCTGCCACGGTCCAGCATAGAGCGTCCAGTATTGTTGGCTTGGGAAAGGATCAAAATTCAAAATTTGAGGTGTGGTCTCTACTGAATGTGTGCTTCACTTCCACACACTCCTCAGTGAGTGATCGATGGTCCGTCTCAGACCAACGTAAGCGGGAGATGATCTGTCCTGCAGAAACGCAGAGAGGATGAGGGTAGGCACTGTCCATTCTGCCCCAGCAAGTGGGCCTTGGGAATGGCGCTGGGTCTCTATGGGGCTAACACTTCTGCAGGGACAAAGGGGAAGCCCTGCACAGGGGCTGGGTTGCTCCTGGGGCTGGTGTGCTTAGCTAGAAAGGAGCAATGACCAGGACTCACATGACTTAAGGCACCCCCCCCCCACCCGACCCGGGGCCTGTGTTTGGGATCTTTGGTTTCAGAAGTGACAATAGCTAAAGTCAAAAGAAGTGTTTTCTTTAGAAAGTCACTCAGATCATAAGCAGCATTTCATAAAAGTTTTGGGAAACGCCAGATGTGGATTAGAAGAGAGGATTATGGCCTTAACCCTGCAGCCCCTACGGCGAATGGTGAACGGCATGTGATGCCATTTAAGGTGCACACTTATATACATAGTATACATAGTTATTAGCTGCTAATAGTGAAATGACACAGTGTATATGTACCTTTGTGTCTGATTTCTTCTGTGTAATCCAATGTCCGTGAGGCTTACCCGTGTGCATGTGGGATTGTTGAGTGGTGTCCTGTTTTATGAATAAAGTCAACGTCTCCATTCTCCTGCCAACAGACATTTGAGTTGTTCCCAGTTTGGGGCTTTTATGAGCAAAGCTTCACCAAATATTCCTGGGCACATCGTTCAGTAGATCTGTTGTAGTTTTTTTGAGCTGACTTTTTTTGCTGACATCTCGGAAACCTATTGATTTTGGTATACTTATTTAGTATTTGGCGATCTTACTGGATTCTAATAGCTTTTCAGTTGATTTTCTTGGGTTTTCTTGGAACACATTTGTATCAGATAGAAAGCTTTTAGTCTCAAGCAATAGAAAAACCCAATCCAAATTGGATCAAATCCCAATGAGTATGTGTTTGCTCCCATAACTGTAGAGCTTGGCACGGGGCTGGCTTCAGGCAAGGTGTGGTCCAGCAGGCAGATGGTACCAGGGCCCATGTCCACTCTGGGTTTCCCTCAGCTCCGCCCTCCCTCCCTTACTGCCTTTGTCCTCCTTCTGGTCCCTTTAGAGCTCTTGTCCAGAGGTAAATTTCACAAGTATCAACGATGGCTACAGCAGTTGCAGAACAGGCCTCCCTACACCATTCAAAGGAAAGTACATTCAGAATGTAGATCTGACTTGGTCCCCAGTCAATGCTGCCCATCTCATTGGTCAAATCAGACAACATGCCAATGTCTGAGCCAATGAAACGGCCTGGTTATTGGGACAGCACTCCCTGATTGGCTCAGGGAGTGCTGTCCCAATAACTCAGCCCAACGAGGCCCATCCTTGAGATATTCCCAGAGAGGCGAAACTCCCACAAACCCCTTGGCTGCCACACAGTAGGACAGCAGGGAATTGCTGAAGGAGTGGCAGGGAGCTTTGGATCGGAGAAGAACCTGGGTGCCAGAGAAGCCCCTCCGAGTGGTTATCCTTGCGACGACAATCAGGGTGATCCTGCCTGTGGTTCTTACCCATTATCCCATCCCAACATCGAGGGTCTTGGTCCAGCCTTCCGACTCCCCGCCTTGGCAGGACACGGGGTCCTTCAACTCTCACAGATGAATGGAAACAGCTGTGCGCTTTCTGGGAAGCTCTGGGAGGGACGCTGGTGTAGCCGGGTGGTGGGAGGGCTCCTTAATGGCTGATGTGGGCCATGGAGATGCTGGAGCCAGCCTGATGGCTGGGTTGGACGGGAAGGGGACACCAAGAGGTGGCTGAGCTGCGCTTGGCGGCACGGGAGGCTGGTGGTCTTCTAGTGCTGTGTGACGTGTTGCCAGTTTTGTTGCAGCCAGCATGCACATGTGTGGCCTTTCAAGGTCGTAGGTCAGAAGTCCAAGTGCTCCTTAGCTTGGTCCTCGCCCCACCGGGGCCTCTGGGTGTGACGTCGAGGTGTGGCTGGGCTGCGTGCTTGCCCATGCTGGGTCCTCTTCCAGGCCCTTTTGAGTCATTGGCAGGATTCGGTTCCTCCTTTCCCCAGAAGCCCTCCTCGGACGGTGCCTGCACCACGTTCCTTTTAAAAAAAAGCCAAAGTTCTGGTTTTGTTATTTGGAGGAGGCTGTGAAGAGAGTTGGGCCCAGAGGTGACATTTACCTCTGGACAAGAGCTCTGAAGGGGCTCTGTGTGGGCTGGACCTCTCTGATCAACACAGGCAGCACCCCACATAGCCGTCCAGGACACAGAAGTGTCCCCCACCCCTCCTGTGGAGCTGCGCCGAGTTGATGGCACACCTCATGGACCCTAGAGAACATTTTTCAGACAAGAAGGCTTTCTCCAGTCAATACATCTGACTGTTCAGGGAGTGTGATGGGATTTTCAGTGAAAATCTGCTTATTTAAGCTATAATGAGAATTAAGGGTGAATTTGGTTAGCAGATTATTTCTTTTAGCTGTGGGGCTGAGGACAAGTGACTTGGCATCTCTGAGCTTCAGTTTCCTTATCAGGAGAATGGGAGCAGCGGTGGTAGTTAGGCAAGGTACATGAAGTTCTCGCATATAACTAAATGGTTTAAAATATCAACCCTTTCGTTTCACTTAACTCTCATAGGAATCTCATTACAAGGGGATATGGTTAGGGTGATGATTCTTATGCATATTTTCAGGTGAGAGCCTGAGGCTCTGTTTCCGTGTCCCTCACTGTGCCGCAGCACCTGGCAACAGTTACTGATTACCTGTCAGGTCCCCTTTCCTTCCACGGCCTGCGCTGTGGGATGGAGTTCCATAAATGTCTTGTCAGGTTGACAGCATATCTTGGTAACAGATGAACTACCTCTGCAAAAACAGTCAAGACTTCAGAAAAATAAGAAGATACAATAGATTGAGCACGCATCTATATTTTTTCTTTTGGAAAGTCCCCAAATCAAATTGGAATTAAGAATGTGTGCCAAGGTTCAGGGGTAGGATGTCCATCAGAACTTGTTTACACAACCCGAACTTTGGAAAAACCTTGATGGTCAAAGGCCAATTGTGATCTACATATGTAGTAAAATATTAAAAGGCTCGCTGAAGGTCTGGGGGCGTAGCCTAGTGGTTGAGAGCTTGCCTAGCCTGTGCTTGGTCCTGGGCTCCTTCCCCAGCACTGAAAGAAGAAAGAAAGAAAGAAAGAAAGACAGAAAAGAAATCGTACATTTTTCTACACTGGAAAACTAGGAAAAAGCTACAGTGTTGCCTGATAAAAGCAGATTATAAGATAGATCATGAAGTATGACTCATTTTACAAAAGCAGGATACGTGTTTTCCTAGGTAGCAAATGTATTTGATCTAGGCACACACACACACACACACACACACACACACACACACACACACACACCACACAGAAACACCTGGAATGATACCACCAAACCTCTCCCCTGTGTGGTGATGGGGAAGTACGGGTGATTGGAATGTTCTCTTGTGTGTGTTTGTTTGGGAGGGAAGGTTCTCCATTTCTCCATCTTATGCATGGATAATAGACCCTAGTTACTAGGAAGGGGAGGGGGAGGGAAGCCCCGTGGTCTCTGGGTGCTAATGCCAGCTCTCATTGCAGGTGATCGTGAAGACCAGGACGGAGTATCAGCCGGAACAGAAGAACAAAGGGAAGTTCCGGGTGCCGAAGATCGCCGAGTTCACGGTCAGTGTCTCCGGGTGTCCGGGTAACGGGCGGGGTGGCTGCAGCCTGCTCAGCATGCTGTGGTGGAGCAGGTACCACTGCCCCACGGGAAAGGGATAGGCCACCTCTGAGGACTTCTCCAAGCCACACCGGCTCCAGCAAGGTGCACAATGGAAGGGCAAGGGCCTCCTCGGGCCTTGTATTCCAGAAGGTTCTGATGCACCTGAGAATTGGCAAGTGCCTCTTTGTTCCTGCCATGTTCCTGCCCCCTTCTTCCTGCTCTTTCAGAGTCCTCAGGAAACACAGTGGAAACTCATCAAGTTTGTGGTTGCAACAAATGCGAAGAAAAAGGGTTTCGTGGTAGAAACCCAGGGGTTGGTTGTCTAGTTCTTGGTGGAGGGTCCCGCGAAGTCGCTGGTGAACTCCTGTTGCTGGCTGTGGGGAGTCGCATCTCGGGCCACGAGAGATGCAGGGAAGTCGCATCTCGGGCCACAAAGCCTGCAGAGATGCAGGGAAGCCCTGTAGTGGGTCACTTGGGAGCTGAGCCATTGGAGTGTGTGGGGGAGCGGCTGCTCAAGCCGAGGCCCTGCAGCTGGAGGGAGGCTGGCCCAGAACCATAAGGACAGTGGGTGGGGCTCTGGAGAGGTCGGGGGCAGGGAGGGGTGCGGCAGGAAGGGGGCAGAACGCAGCAGCTCCTTGCAGGCCACAAGGAGGGATCATCCATAGGAAGCCACTGAAGAAGGTCCGAAAGGCGAGGGTTGACCAGATTTGAGTTTTAGGAAAAGCATGTGGTCTAGTATGTGGTTAGTGGGGTACAGGGGCAAAAAGGAAAGTGGGGAGACAGCTGGGCTACTGCAGTTGTCCAAGCAGGAAGCACTCGTGGCTCAGACAAGGATGGTGAGTGAAGCAACAGATGCAGGCCCATCCACAGGACAGCTGGGAGGCGGCAGAAATAGAGGCTCTGTGTGTGGACGTTGGAGCGGCTTGATGGGGCTGGAGCCCTGTGTCGCTTTACATTGGCCACATCACATTATTAAACTCCTTATCACATGGAGACAGTAGTGGGGCTGCTGCAGGCTGCAATGTAGAGCACATGACTTGTACAGAAGATGGTGCACAGTAACAGGGGCTGTTTGTGTCAACTGGGACTGCAGGACAGGCAGGGCCGAGGGGGCTTTGAAAGTGAAAGCAGCCCTTGGTTAGTTATATGAATGGGGGAGGGGGCAGAGAGGGTGCAGATGAACGTAGCAGTCTGCTCCCACCTTTGACTATCTTTCTCTGTGCTAAATCTATGTTAGAGCTGCTGGGTGTGTGACCCTGGGTGGAAATGCCACCCAGCTCCTGCAAGGTGGGACTCTCTAAATGCCAGCTCCCTTTTTTGAAAGCAGGGGATGCTCTTTTTACTATGCCTCAGTGTCTGCCCAGTGGCTGTGGCAACCACATCAATGTTAGTAGCTCAATTCACAATAGCTAAGCTATGGAACCAACCACCATCAACAGATGAATGGATAAAGAAATTGTGGTATGTATACACAATGGAATGTTATTCAGCCATAAAAAAAATGACTTTATGGCATTTGCCAGTAAATGGATGGATCTGGAGACTATCATGCTAATTGAAATAAGCCAATCCAAAAAAAAAAAAAAACCCAAACATTAAATGTTCTCCTTGATGTGTGGATGTTAACACAAAAAAGTAGGGGAAGGGATTAGATGAGGGGGAATGAAGGGAAGGGAGGAGGGATAGGGATAGGAAAGACAGTGGAATGACTCTGACGTAACTCTCCTTTGTACATATATGAACACAACACAATGAATCTCACCATCATGTATAAGATAAACTCCATGTTTTTATAAATACGTCAACATAGACTCTGTAGTCATATATAACTAAAAAGAACAAATTAAAAAATAAGTAAAGATTTTTTTAAAAATTCCCCTGTAAATCCGGGCATATTTCTCATGGCCCCTGGGGCCAGGATAGGTCAACTGAGCCCCGGGCCTGGTGCACACACCCAAGCATGGAGAAGCCCCAGCACCCCTCCAGCTCCATGCTCATTCCTGCAGGTATGTGCGTGTTCCTGCAGGTGCCTGTGGGCAGCTGGGGCCAGCCACAGTCCGGATGGGCTGTCATGGTACCACAGTGCTTGTGCTTAGTGACCCTTGTTTTAGTTAGGAGTGGCCCCAAAGCGCAAGAGCCCCGAGGCTAGCAGGCAGCCAGCAGATAGCCAACCCACCATAAAGTGAGAAGATGGAAGTCCTTGGTTTAGTACGGGAAGAAAAGGGTCATATGGTGCGGGGCTGAGATCTGCAGGATGTTGCTGTTTTTAATCCCCGTGTTGAACTGACGGACCACACCATACCATAGGTGTGTGTTATAGGGGAAATTACAGTTCGTATCAGCTTCGGTACTCTCTGAGGTCTTAGCCTCCAATGGGAGTCCATCTCCCCTGGATAAGGGGGACAACTGTAGTTCCTCTTCCCAAAGGGGAGGTAGGGCTCAAAGAGTGGAGGTGACTGCTCACCTGGATGCCCAGCGGCCGGGCAGTGTCCAGGGCTGGTGCCTGGCCTTTCCCTTGGACTCGCCACTGCAGTAGACATGTTAGAACAGGAGTGAGTCAGCTGAGACGTGGGGAGCAAGTTGGTCAGGGGCCGAGGACTGGAAGTGCCCGCACACTTGAGCTCAGTCAGCCTTGGAGGTGTAGAGGAGGGGCCGTTTCTGCGCCAGGGCAGCCCTTTGCTAGGCGCAGGTGGAGGAGGGAGGGCTAGGCACAGGTGGAGGAGGGCCCTGCAGCCTGGAACAGGAAACGGGGGAATGAAGCGGATTCTCCTTTGCTCATGTGAAGCTTCCGGCATTAATTAGCCTGTCCCCTCCCCCCACTTTCTTCCAGAAAGTTCCCTCTGGGCTTTGTGGAAGATGTTTGTGGCTGGAGAGAGGAGACAGGAGTGGGGAGGAGGCTGGGGGTGATTAAGAAGAGCCTGAGGGTCTCAGCTGAGTCAGCGCTCCCAGGCCCCAGGATCCAGGTGGGCTGTGGTGGAGGATTCACAGAACTGACTTCTGGTTGCAGAAAGCACTGGGCACTCCCTGTATTTGTTGCATCTGACTGGGCCTGGGGACCTCCTTCCACAAAAGTAGTCCTTTTCACAGAGGTAACACTGAGAATAAAGTGCCTGGAGGTCCAGGGAAGGTTTGGGGGTGGGTGGGCCGCCCTTGGGTGCAACTAATGGTCTGGGCTAAGGATGGAGATTCATCTGGAGAAGCCTCTGGAAGTGGGTGGGCTTCACAGTGCTGGCCAACAGTGCAGGATCCTTCTCTAGGATATATTGCCAGGGTTCAGGGGACCCTAGGAAGGACCAGAGTGTACCCCCTACCACTGCAGTCCCTTCACAGAGGTGGGACAGTGTGTCACTTTGAATTTCAAAATTGACCTGGAGAGAGCAGTTTATAAGCAGTTATACTGAAGGTGGGGGAAGAAGAGAGCAGAATGAGGAGAGGTGAAGTGTGGGAAATCAACTAGAAGAATCGACAGGGATTTTTGTCACTTCTAAAACCAAGGAGGGTCTTAGAGTCCCTGTGAAAGGCCAGAGGCCTGCAGGGTCTTCAGCAGGCCAGCCTCAGCCAAAAGGAGGGCACCTGAAACCCTGGAGCTGGCTCTCCGAAGGCCGGTTTGGCTGTGGGGTACTGGTGCTATGGAAGCCGCTGGACCGGGAAGTGTGAGCCGTGTGGGCACTGGGGCCTGGTCACTCTGCCTGTGGGCACAGGCGCAGGTGCAGATGCAGGTGCTGGGGGCTATTGTGCAGCATGGTCCTGAGGAAGACACTGGTGGTGGGGAATGTGCTGCTGCCGTGGAGGATGTGGGTTCCGCCAGGGCTGCTGCTCCCGGGGGAGCAAGTGGGTGCTGTGGAGGGGTCTGGGGAGAACTCTGGTGCTGTGGAGAGTGTTGATGCCACAGAGGAGGTGATTGTATGGAAGGTGGTGGTGCTTTAGAAGGTTCCGGATTTATGGAGGCTACTAGTTAGGGAAGTGCTGGTCCGTGGAGGGTGCTGCTGCTGTGGAGGGTGCTGGGCTGTGGAGGGTGCTGCTGTGTCTGCCGCGCTCCAGGTGGGCTTGTTCGGGGCTGGTCTTCCAGTGGGAGCTGCGTGCTGCCTCAGAAGCCATTGTGCCAATGGCTGACTTTCTGGAAACACCTGGGGCTGGGCTCACCTGAGGATCTCAGGCGATGACCTTTTCCTCTTTAACTTCGTGACCACGGGAAAGCCCTTCACCCCCTGACCTGACTCACTGTCCTCAACAGCAGGCCGCGGTCTTGCGGTAACCAACAGTCCTGGTGCACTCTGAGGGCTTAATGAATGATCATTTATCATTTCCTTCCTGTTTTCATCCCTTTTCTTTCTCATGGGTTTTTAGCTTCCTGCCTAATTGGCTGGATTTGTCTGGTGGCTGGGCTCCGAGCTCCCTGCCCTGACCTTCCCATGTGACATGACTTGGAAAACCTGGAGAACTCTTGGAGGTGGTAGCCAGTTCAGGGTCTACAGGTGGCCTCTGCTTCTTAGCAGGGACCCCGGGGCCATGTCTTTGCCTACTATAAGTGTAGTCTGTATTTTTGTGGGCCATTTTTCTACACATATCATGTGTTAAAGATGCTTTTGCGCCACTCTTCGTCCTGATCATCCTCTTGTGAACTGGATACTCACATCATCCCTGTTTTGGGTGCTCAGGGATGTGAAGTGGACTTCCCAAGCCTGCTCAGCCAGGAAGTGAGAGAGCAAAATAGGGACCCACCTCCCTGGCTCCACGTTCCCGCTCTCTGCCAGGCCTCAGTGCCACCGGCTATTGCCCTTGATCAGGCCATTTTTCCTTGTTTGTGTTGGCATTTGCCCTGGGTGTGGCTCGGTGTCTGCTGCTGGTACACAAAGGTGGCCATATCCCTGCTCTCAAGGAGCTCACCAGAGTGCGGGACAGACAAGGAATGCTCTGGCCATTTTCTCAGCTGTCCCCTCCTCGGAGGCCCCTCGGCTGC